AGTTGGCCGGCTCGGAGAAGAGGCGGGCCTTCTGGCAAGTTCAAAGAGAGCTGTCCCCGAGGGATAAATCGTGAACTCCTCCGGATGGGGCTTCGGCCCAAAGTTAGGAGAGAAACACTTATAGTGCCCAGGCCAACTCGCCGGTCTCCGCCTGTCCCTGGAGACTCTCCGGATTTAGGACCACGAGAAGCTCCTACGTGGCCGCGGATCCAATTATCCCTTGATGGTTTGGGGAGGGAGAAAAACTTTTTTTTTTTTTAACTTAGTTTCAAGGCTGGATTCTACATTGAAAAAGACTGAAACCATTCAAGACTTTTTTTTCAAAAGTTTCTTTTAATACTTAGAAAAAGGGGAGACAGTTATTGTGAGACTCCTCTGACAGTTGTCCGAGGAAAGTTTTAAGTTGCTACCAGTGAGTGCTCGCTAAGCCGTCAGTGGATGCCCTGTGAGCTAATACTTACCAGCAAATGGTCCCACACACGTGGCTAAGCCAGTTAGGACTTCACGGTCGAGACTCAGATGCTGCGGAAAATTCCTCAGAGTAGTAAAATGCGTTCTTAGCTTAGAATTTGTTGTTCTTATTTATTAAAACTTTGGACTAATAAAAGCAAATCACCAAGGGTTTGGAAGGAAGCAAACAATCTCAATACCAAAATCTGGTGAAGACAGCAAGAGAGAAATGGGCACTAACCTAATTTATAAATATAAATACAAAACTGCTAAATTGTGAACAAATTGAATTCAACAATTTATTAAAGGAAAAAAGCACAAATTAAGTGGACTATCCAAATGACCTGCAAGTTAATTAACAGTCTGTGTCCTCTGTAAAATGAAGATAAACCATGATAATTATTAGATTATTATAGATCTTATTAGATCCAGTATCTAATGAGAAACTGCATGTAGCGCTAAAGAATTGTTTTTTTGTTTTTGTTTTTTTGGTGGGGGTAGGTAAATAGGTTTATTAATTTTCAGAGGAGTTACTGGGGATTGAACCCAGGACCCCATGCATGCCAAGCATGTGCTCTACCACTTGAGCCATACCCTCCCCCTAAAGAATTGTTTATTGTTCCAAATAGAGCTTATTCTGTTGAAATAGAAAATTTATTATTACAATTCATCCTAACACTGGTTATTTATGAGTGGTTACATTTGGCGTGATGATTTGCTTCCTTCTATGTACTTTTCAGTAGTCCTTTATGGTTTTTAATAACTATGTTAGGTTTTACGCAGAAACAAACAAGTCAACCTGGTTCCAGTCAGGAATCTTCCATTCCTTTGCTGTGACTGTGGGCAACGCATGCTACCTATCTGGGCCTCAATTTCTTCACCTATAAAATGAAGGGGTTGATTTCTAAGACTTCTTCCAATTCTAAAATTCTACGATTGTATGAGAAAGAAGATACTCCAGGATGGGAAAGAAGACAGACATAGGAAGAAACAGGCTGGGTAGTGACTGCCACTTCCATTTTGCCTTTTAGGGCTTCCGAGTGGTTTGATTTCTTGTCATTCCTTTTAAAATGTTAATTATCTGATCAAATAGTATGTGAGCTCTTCACTGTCTCTTTAAAAAGTCTCTTTTAGACTTCCCAAGTCTAAAAACTGAATCCAGTCAAGAAGAGTCAGCAGGAGACTTAAAAGCTCAGAAAGGTAAAGATGAGTGAAGAGGTGAGCAGGTGAGAGACAGGGACCAGAAAGAAGGGAAAGGTTCTGGGATTTTAAAAAGCGGGGGTGGCGGTGGAGATAACGAGAAAAGAAAAACAGATGAGAATCCGTGAGAGAACAGAGAGCCAAGGAGCAAGAGAACATGAAACAGAGTCAAGGACATAATAGGAAAAATATCCAAAAGGCCTGAGGCCAGGATGGAGGTATGGAGCAGCATGGAGGAAGAAGAGAAGCAGGATCTGAAATAGGATGGATGGAATGAAAATCAGAAAATGAGGTTCTTTCTACCCCCCTCTCACAGGAAGTTGAAATGTTAGCTGGAGAATTGCAAACATAATCTGGCAAGTAAAGCAGGGCACCAAAGAAAGAATTCTGCTTTTCACTGAGCCTGAAATAAAAAAGGATTCATTATGAATCAGATCTTCCAAGAGCAGTAAACCCTGGAGGCTAAGCTATGTAAGCTATTAACTTTGCGTGGCACACACTGAGCCGGGGATAAAGAAAAGGCCAGTGTTAAGAAAAAGAGCCCCTTCAAGTCAGTCTGAGCTGACCTGAGGCAAATGTGAAGTAGGAGAAATGTTTCCAGCAGTGCCCACTCTCCCTCCCCAAGAGTTTCCAGGAAATTCTCCCAGCTTCAACACACCTGGAGTCACCATGCGGTTTGATGAAAAACCCTGGACTATAAATCAGACCACCTTGGTTGTAGAGCTTTCCATCCCCCTACTCTCTGAGCCTCAGTTTTATTATTTGTAAACTGTCTTGCCTACTTCCATAGAGTTTCTGTGAGGATCAAGTGAAGCAATGTATGAGGGATGGAAATCTGCCAAGTACCATGTAAATGTAAGGAACCATATTTATCTATGAGTAATAGGTGAATAATAGAAGACCCAACTCAAAATCTTTTAACCCATAAAGAAATATACTCTCTCTCAGAATAGGAAGTCTGGATGGGAAGTAGCTGCACCAATAGTTAATGAAGTGTCTCTAGAACATCCTCAAGGGTTCAGGTGTCTCCTCCTGTCTTCAGGAGGTTCACTGCTGCCTCTCACAATTCCAACATGGCTGCCCCAGAACCAGCTACCACATGCAGGGAGCGCCATCCTGAGGCAGAAAGAGCACCTTTTACGTTTCCAGGTATCATTTATTAAGAGCAAGGACAATCTATTCAGAAAGCCTCCTTCCTACACACCTTCTCTCACGTCTCATTGACCAAAATCGCATCCCATGCCCTTTGCTAACCAATCAGTGGAAGAGGAACAGGATTACTATGATTGGTTTAAGACTAATCAAGATTCACCTCCAGAGAGCAGGGAAAGGGCCTCCACTCTCTAATCAGCCTCTCTGAAGCAGATGGCCACCCAAGATTCCTGAAGAAAACCAAAGTGCTGTTAGCAAGGAAGAGAAGGGGGAATGGCGATTGGTTCATCAACCGTTTGCCACAGATTACCAATTACTTCGATATCTCCCCTTTTCCTTCAGTCTTGTCTACCCCCAAGCCTCAAATAAAGCACATTGTCTGCAATTTTTTCTCCAATCCTACTGGAATACCAGTTAAAGTTATTAGAAATAATAATACAGGGCTTCTCAAATGTTTCCACTGTGCTGCAGGGAACTGTGGACATGGACCCTTGGGAGCTTACTGACTACTTCACCATGAGAATTCTTTGAAGTGTGGTGTTTTAGGGGAGGAAAAGTCAGATTCTGCATTCTACCCTCTAATCGAGCCATGCTTAATATATACAACAGGATGTGCTCTTTCCTTTTTACTCACTTTTTTCCTTCCTCCATCTTCCCAGTGGGGAAAAGGTCATTGGGGTAAGGTGAGAACTAGTAAAAAAAAAACACCTTGTGAGCAAAATAATGGCACCAAAGTTACGCTGTGTAAAGTGGTCAAGATAAGCAGGAGAAAGTCTAGTCTTTTTTAAATTGTTTCATTCTAAAAGGCTTCAAACCTGTCCAGTAACACAGAGTCAGGACCAGCTGCAGCCATCCCTCTACCATTAGGCCAACACCAAGACCCCTTGGCTGAACTTGAAAGTGAATCTGGTATCTTAAGGTGGGGCAGAGGGGTAGAAAAGACTGGGGCAGGAGAAACAACAGGGGGGACAACAAAGAAGTATCTCTCATTCACCTGGGCTAAGTGCCCCGGTACAAAGTGAAGAGTGACTCCATGTATATTCATGGTTGAGTCTAATAATGACTTTATTTTCCCTTTCTGGAAAGGAACTATATACCTGCACAGCCTTCTGGATGCTAACGGCATAAAGGGTGATGGGTGAAAATAATGATTTAGAATTATAACCACTAGGAAAGGAATTCCTGTTTGTCTCATTGGTTATAGATAAGATGTTACTAGATTGAGTTTACCACAATCAGAAAACTGAGCTGAATTCAAGAGATGGCGCTGTGTAATTAAGATCTGACTCCATTTTTGATGTTGATCACTGACAGCCTTCAAGCCCCACCTCCACTTTCCCCTTTCTTCCCACCTGTGGGCAAGCTGATAAGAAAACCCATACACTCCTTCCATTAGCACCAGAGGGGAAGTTCAAACCACACAAAGCCTTGGCCTGTGTTCATAAATATTCACCCAGGTTCCACTTCCTAAACACAATAAAACCCAGGATCACTCGCCTTTCCTTTGCTGAAGCTATTTTTGGACTGGCTTAAGTGCCTGAAGTGCTCTCCTAGAAAGCCTCAATACGTGAGTAATAAATTTTTTTCTACCCTCTGGTTGCATATGTGGCATCATCAGCCTTGACAGCAAACCAATTTTGAGTGGAGTGCTCCTGTGGCATGACCACCACACCTCACATATCACCCTGGGATCAGTGACCAAGAAACTTCTTAATCTGGTGTCAAAACACATGAAGAACCCAGACTCACATAAACAGGTAGATATAAGCAGCAAAAGAATTTTCACTGCTTTATAAACTCTAACATGGTAATCATCAAGGAGAGATGCCTAGAATGCAGCCCAGAATGTGGTACTGGATGAGGCTGTCAGACTACTGAACTGCACATCTGCTGTTTTTCACTACCCAGCATCGCTCTTCCCTCCCTCTCTCCTCTTCCTCCTCCTTCTGTCTCTTTCTGTCTTTCTGTTAACAGCACCACAATTTTATTTTGAGGAACCGCCCCTCTCCCACTGTTAGTCTATTTGACTTGGCTAAAGCTGACTCACCCCTGGGATTTAGGGTGGACAGGTAACATAGGCTTGAGCAGTCAGTGTACCGCATCACCTTGACCACAGCGACTGTTTTCATGACAGCCACCTGACCCTTGCTTAACCAATAAGTATAATACATAGAATTCTTATTGGAACTGAGAAAGTTTCTTCCAGCTGGGGCTGCTAATTTGTTGTCTATCTTTGGCGTCTAGTGACCATCTTTACCCCCACAATGAGAGAAACTACATAATAATGAAGCAAATACAAAGGAAAGTAAAGCTGAGAAAGAGAGAAATTGCTAACGATAACATTTCAGCACCTACATCCAGCCATTCCTGAAGTTCCACTCCATGACATTTTACATATGTAAGCCAATAATTTTTTTTTTCTTATGGAGGTACTGAGGATAGAACCCACAAGCCAATAAATTCTTTCATTTTTCTTTCTTAGAACAGTTTGATTTGGATTTTGGCCCATTGTTGTTTTAAAAGAATTTTGACTAATACTTACCATAATGGGATGAGCAATACCTGGGTCTTCCTGCTAAGATCAAATCACTTGTGTTAGGCAAATTGACTTTGAATTGACTTCTTTCACTTACAGGTGAGAGAAATCCAACACAATTGGTTTCTACATAGAAATATATCCTAAAGTTTTCAGATTATTTGCTTGAGTGCTGTAAGGTCACTGTTTGTGGTAAGAGAATGTTTGGTGTCTTTTCTTTTTACTTTTCCTTCTTCCTCTTTCTTGTTTCTTATACTTCAGGTGCATAACTTGTCCAGCAACAAATCTTCCCCGGGAGGAGAGGAACAACTCTGGTCTAGCTTTGTTGTTATTTGCCCCTTAGATCTGTCTCTGGCATGTACCTTAGAGTTGTCTGACCAGGGATGGGGTGTGGCTAGGCAGTGGGGTCTGGCCTGACATTCCTCTTTTTACTGTCTCAGGGCCTCTTCACATGATCTCTCTCCTCAAAGCACGGTGACCTCAAAGCAACTGAACAGCTTACATTTCTAAAGGCTTCAGGAAGGTGTATTTAAAGAGAACCAAGTGAAAGCTCAGGTTCCTGCCTCAGCATCCTCAGCGCCTTGGCTCTCGGCCGCCGCCAGGGGGCGAGCTCCAGTCTCCGGCACCCGCCGACCCTGCGGCGGGGTTCGGGCGCTCAGAGCACCGACTTGCGGCTGCGCCACGGGGAGGCGGCCGGAAGGCCTGTCGAGAGGCCGGGGACGGGCAACCTCGGCGGGGACACCGGGCCCTGCGCGGAGGGCCACGGGGCGGCGGCGGGAGGGGGCGCTGCGGCACCCGCGTGCGCGACGCGGAGGAAGTGCCGTCTTCGCCAGCTTCGCGGGGCCGCCGCAGCCGCGCCGCGCCGCGCCGCGATGTCGTCCCGGCCAGGGCGCGACGACGCGGGCGCCCGGGGCGCGCGGCGGCCGCGGGAGCCGCCAGAGCAGGAGCTGCAGCGGCGCCGGGAGCAGAAGCGGCGGCGGCACGACGCGCAGCAGCTGCAGGAGCTCAAGCACCTAGAGTCCTTGTGAGTCCCCGCCCGTCACGCCCGCCCCCGACTTCTGCGAGGAATGGGGCCGGGGCCCGGGGTCGCGCGGCGCGTCTTGGCGCTTTAGGCGGGGTCCTCGGACACCCGCCAGTGGGGCAGGTCGGCCCGTCGGGCCCCAGCGAGCCAGGTGCGGGTTATGACTCCGGGCTCCGCGTGGGGAGGCTCTCCCCTTGGATCCGGGGGCGGGTGGGGGAGGCTCCACCCCCGCGGCTCTTCCCGCCGGCGGCGGCGGCGGCGGGCGCCTCCCCAGCAGGAAGCGACGGTTTTATTCCTCGTGCGGCGGCGGCGGGGTTCGGCTGGGGCACTTTTAGGCGCTCGGTCAGGATTCGGGGACTGGGTACTGAGGAGTGCGGCTGAGCTCTCTGGTCTTTTCCAGTTTGTCAGTTCAAGGAGCCCGCTATGAGCTGGGTAAAACTCCCGTCCTTTACATCTGCTGTTGATAAGGAAGAGAAAGTCCTGTAACGGCAGTGTGGTGAGGAAGGTAGAATAAACAGTAGGGTGAGGGCCTGGTCCCTAAATATTCGTGGGGAGGCTGTCAGAGCTGTTCTTTCTAGTCCTCAGGACTTTTTTTTTTTTTTAACCAGGATTAAGGGTGGAAGCTACAAAGAGGCCAAGTCAACAAGAATTAGGACCAGAGTCATACATTCTTGCTGGTCAGCGTGCCTGACCTAGGTAGGAGGCACTGTGCTTTCCCAGCTGCCCAGGGTTGGAGGAGAGTCCTGGTAACCACTGAGAGAAGGGCGGGTTGTAAAGGAGATTTAAACATCAGGTGGAAGGTTGAATTGATGACGCTTTCGGTTCTCTTCTGTAATTTTGTCATTAGCTTTAGAAGTCTTAACTTTTCTGAGTTTGGTGGTCACTGAGTTATTCGAATTATTTCTGTTCCAGGCACTTCTCATTATTTATGCTGAGACGATTATGTAAGGAAAGGTCCTCAGATGGTTAATCCTTCACCGTTGACCTCTAGGAGCTTTGGTACAAAATGCATGCTTCCGTGCAGCCCGGCCTGCTCTTTTCAGTGCAGCCCCTGAGCTTAACCTCAGGGGGCAAGGGTTGCCCATACAGGTGCTGCATCGCTGGCATTCACACTCCTGGCCCGTTCAAGGCCTTCTGGGGTGCTTTTTGTTGCCTGTGCAAGGCTGATGTTCAAAAATGTTTCCCTAGGATAAGCTCAGGCAAGGCTCAGCCCCACCCAGCCTTCAGTATCCTTAACTGTAGGATGCCAGATGATGGTTAATACTGTATGTTTATTTTGTACCTCATAGAGCTTTGTCACAGAGAAAGATGATAACCTTTTGTAGATGAGAAAATGGAGGCTCCGTGGTTAAGCCACTGACCTGCTAACCAGTAAAACTAAAACAGAGCCTAGGTGTCTGATTCTCAGATCAGTGGGATTTTTCCAGTTCCATAGGTTTAAAACTAGCTAAGCTATTGACATATTTGCTTTTTCTAGTTCAGAGTCTTGTTTGATTTTAAATTAAGTTTAATTCATACCAGTGTAATACTTGTGTACAGTTTGAAAGCTCAAATAATACTAAAAATGCTCCAAAAACTAGTAGTGGGCTGCCCAACTCCTCATACTCCCTGCATAACCCTCCTCTCCCTTCCCTCCTAAGGAGGCCAAGCCTCCCATGTGTAAACTCCTTTAGTTTTTACTTCTTGCATTTAACTATATGTCTGAATTATATGTTTATACTGCTTTCTTTGATTCAACAATTTTAGGCATTATCTATTAACTTGTCATGGTAGATAAGGATTTGGTTCTCTTACCTGTCCTTGTTTCCATCCTTCCAATACAGCTCTATTGTAACTACTGCTAAATCAGTGTTAGAATTAGTGATGTTTTAACTGTGCAGTGTTGTTTATTTTTGAGCCAGTGTTTTATGATTTTTTTTTTTGCTTTCTAGTACAGTTGTTATCCTTTGAGTAGTTAGTAAGAACCTCAATTTTTCATTTGCTTTATTTTCTATTATCAACTGCTGTTTTTTCCCTAAAGGCTCCAAAAGCTGAAAGTACTTTCTCTACATGTTCCTATATATCTCATAATTAATCAGTTTATTTTTTCCCTGGAATCTTCCATCTGTTATCCTTTAGTAATCTTTCATTATTACCTTCTAGCCCTGCAGCACAACAGTCATCCTTGAACTTCTTCACCACTCTCCTGTTTCAAATCCCATTCCTGGATTCCATCTGTTCCTCTTTCTGTCTTTACTCCCGTATTTTGCTGAAGTACATTCTGTAAATCCTATGAAAAATGGCACTGGAGGTACATTTTTTGACACCTTGCATATCTGAACATGTTTTTATTCTGTCCTCACACTTAATAGATAATCTGACAAGGTGTAGAATTCTAGGTCAAAAATTATTTTCACTCAGTTTTGGAGGTGGCATGCCTAGTTTCCAAAATTATTAAGGAGTCGGAAAGCACTCTGATTCCCTTTCTTTTGTAAGTTCCCTGCTCAACCTTATCCTACTCTGAAAGCTTTGGAAGCGTTAAGGAACTTCCCCTAATTTTTGCCATCCTGAAGTTTTATGATGATGTGGGTCTTTTTTCAACAAGAGTCTGTTTTGGGGTTTTGTTTTGTTTTTTTAATTTCATGGGTGTATTAAATTAATATGTTAATTTGTGTTTTAATTTCTTTTCCTTCATTTTTTTCTTTCTGTTGGATTTCTGTTGGTCCTCTAATTATCTTTTCTCTACTGTTGTCTATCCCTTTGACTTTTCAATCTACTTTGTAGAAGATTTATCTCCCATTCCTTCTACTGCACATTAAAAAAATTCTGTGATCATCTTTCTAAGTTCAAGAGCTTTTTCTCATTCTGAGAATTCTTTTTCCATAGTATCCTTTCTTGTTTCATCTTTGAGGATACTCATTAATTTTTCTTTTTTTTCTTCTGCTCCCTCCATTACCTCTGTGTTTGCCTTTTCTTTTGATCCTTGTCTTCCATTTAGATTTTTTTCCTCGTATTGTCTGGATACCTGGGTCTCTTCATATTAAGAGTGAGGCACTATAAGCTCCTTTGACAGGGGTCATTGTAGGAGAGGGAGGAAGAGAGAGAAGGTGCTTTTTCACTGACTGGATTGCTTAACTATAGGGAGATAAGGCTGTGGGCTGCCTTTTTGATTGAGAGACTCTCAAATGTCCATAGATGGAGATTTTTTTCCCCGGGGCTGTTCAGTTTCTTCCGGAAAGAACCTTCAGTTGAGGAGTCTATGCTTGACCGCCAGTGTTCTGGGTGGATTGGGAGGGAGAGGGCTGAGTGTCCCCGAGTTCAGACAGAGACTGACTCAACAGTTATTTTCAGCCATGGTCACTATCATCCCCATCCTCAGCCATGCTCAGAGGGGGCTGAATCTGCAGTCTCCTTCCAGGGTTGGGCGGGCAGTTTCTGGGCTGTAGGGAAGGAGGGAAAAACCCGTGGTTTCAGCCAGTTCACGTCTACGTTCCTTACGCCCATCTTCCGAAGACTAAAATCCTCCGAGTACAGAGGTCAGTTGTTTCTTCCTTCCACTTTCCCAGGTTTGTTGAAATCTTTTTGTGATATTACCTCCACTCGGTAATTTTTTGTGGCTTTCTACCTTAAATTTTTTTTTTACTGTCATTAAAAAAATCAAAAACAGATAGAGCATATTGGTCAGTGAGCCATGTTAAATGGCAAGCCCCACAGTTTTTTACAAATTGAATTCAAATCCTTTCATCACTTATGTGCTCTCTTCAGTCTCCACTGGCCATTTTCTTACACTTTACTGGCTTCTGTCTCTGACATACCTGCCAGGCCCCCAAAGGCATCTGAGTCCTCCAGCGGTGCTCCAGCCCACATTCCAGCTGTCACTCAAGTGCTCCTGGGCTGCTGGGCGTAACAGAATGGATGTTCCGAGTATATGTGGAGTTTTGTCTCCACTATTCAGTCCCAGAAGAGCCAGTTGCAGGAACAGTCGTTTGAAATGGAATATGCTTACATGAAGGATCTTTCTAAACCCACCCCAGTAGTCAGAATCACAAAGAGTAATTTGAAATACTTGGCTAAAGAAAGATTTCTTGCCTCATACACAATTGGGAAGAAATTCTCTCATGTAAATTTAGTCTTACTACACAGAGTAAGTTATTACAGTCTGAATGATTGAATAGTGGGCTTCTTAGATGGTGCAAAATAATGGGCCTCCACAAACTTTTTCAAATATTAAGAATTAACTACAAAGATAAATGTAGACTTCTTGATTGTCATGGCGTAGAAGCTAAACTTCACATAAACATACTCCCATTTCCAAATCTATTATATTTAGTAGTTAAATATTACTTTAAACTTTGAGAATTATCTTCTTTAATATGTTAAATTAATGAATTGTTTAACCCTAGGAAAAACCATCAACCACCTTCCTTTAAACTTATTGAAAACAATTGTAAGCTTGACTTTTTAGGGAATGCCATTGCTAATAATAGATTTCAAAATATGTAGTCCTTTCACACTCCTTTTCATCTTGGCATCAACAGTTGCATATTTTTCAGTAATTTGGCTTTCAATTTGATTGGCCATATGTTGTTGTTTGTACAACTCTTGTGACTCAAAGGATGTATTATTGGATTAGTGGGTTTATAGATTGTACTACCAGTCTCTCTTTGGTCTTTATGCATAAGGCATAGCATTAATGTTTCTAATGAATGGCCGCAGATCAACTGTTATCATTTCCCCAATTTATGCAGATTTCCATTGTTCCCTTGCTAAGTTCTGGCTCTCTGATGCCACTGCTTTGTGTCAGAAAATATTTTCATTAAAGAAAACTTGGAAAATTAGTCATCCCCACTCTCACTGTCTAGGTACAGCCATGGTGAAGCTCCCATATTTACAAGTTTTTGAAGTCAAGACACAATTGTAAACCAGTTGCAGTGCCCAGATGTCCTCAGTTAAACATTCCTTATAGAGGCATTGAACAGACCTGGGATGTTCGGTTGTCCTGTTTTGTTTTGTTTTTATTCTTATTTTGGTTTTGGTCCCTTAGGCATTCATGATTAAAGCCAAACAACCATGCTGTGTGTTTAATTTAATTATCTTATTTGTGTGTGTATGGAGGGGGGTAATTAGGTTTATTTATTTTTAATGGAGGTACTGGGGATTGAACCCAGGACCTCATGCGTGCTAAGCATGCAATCTACCACTGAGCTGTTACTCTCCCACCCACACTGTGTGTTTAATAGCCAGCAGTGTGTCAATACTTAAAAATGAACATGAGCATTTGCTACTGATTTTCTAGATTTGGCATCTGGAAGCCTTTCCTGGAAGTTCTGGCAGAGCAGTGAAAAGTGGAAAAAAGTTGGGAGCATGAGCATGATTTGTATCCTCAGGACCCTGGGGGTCTGAGAGCTCTATTGCTGGAAGGAAAGCGTGTTCACGCACAGCCATCTGCTTCTCTAGTTCTTTATCGAGTGCCATCCTGCACCTTGAGTTGGGTGAGGTCAGTAGGGGCATAGAGGGTGGTCAGAAAGCTGAGGAGCAGACACTAGCCTGAGCCCACTCTGTGGACAGGACAGGCCTGCACGGGAATGGAAGGGGAAGCCTCTGGGACAGACCACCCCCTCCTCCTTCCTCTATGGCAGGCCCTTCCCTCTGGCTTTGCTCCTTCCCCCCACTGCTCAGCCCCCATCCTTGTTGAAACAGGTCATGTACCCCCATCCCCATGAGCCTCTCAGTGTAGGGAAGTTGGAAATTGTGGTAGGTAAATCACCCGACACCTATAATGACAGTTTGGAACCATAATTAAATTCACAGCTCTTGTTGCTTCACATTTTCCCTGCAACCTCTTGCTTTCTCTTCTTTCAAAAATAAAATCATTGTACTAAGACACCAACTTAGTTATTAGTTATTATTTTGGTGAATTTAAGTTCTACATCCCAGTGGGATGTGGTATAGCAAGTTTATGTAGGATCTCTGGCTGCTGGACATATTTTATTAACTGTTTCAGTTACAATGTAGTTTTAAGTTTTTACTTAAAGAAAAAAGCTTTTTTATTGTGGACTGCAGTTGTTTTTTGCTGATTGAAATGTGTTATGTTCCTATGAACATGGTTGATGACAGGTGTTTTTTTCCTTTCTAGTTATGAAAAACCTCCTCCTGGGCTTATCAAGGTCAGTGTGAAGTTTGTACTTTGGTTTTTCTCTGAGACACGTTTCACTCAGTGCTCAGACTCAGTCACTTGTTAGTAAAAAAAAGCTGCATAAGGTTTGAGCCTCCGTTTATGATAGTCCTGCTTCTTCCCTGCAGATGCCAGTCTGTTCATACACTTTGCGCTTTGTCACAGTCTGTGCCTTTGCAGAAATTTAATCAGCCTTGTGTCTGATTAAATAAATAAGAAACCACTGCAGGCCCACGTATGTTTCTCAGCGATCGCTCCCCTTCATTTGCTTGTGACTGTATCTTCTCAAAGCTCTGCTGCCCCATGTTCCTTCTCTGACTCTCCTGGTGCTGGTTTCTTGAATGTCATCAGCTCAGAGAACAGTGGACTCTGAGGAGACTTGAAGCTCATCCAGTGCAGCCTCCCCTGGTACCCAAGTGCCTCCTCCAGCACCCTGGCCACAGTGTCAGTGTCTTTCTGTGGGAGTGAGACTTAGAGGACTGACAGACAAAACAACCTTTTCTGTTTAGTAACTTTCAATTAAAAAAAAAAAGACTTAGAAACGTTCTTCCATTATAAATTTTCATGGAAACTTGAAAAAAATCATAAGGTTAAAAAAAAAAACCAACCAGCACCTTACCCTTAACAGTATAGTGCAGTTATTTGATGGTGAAAATACATTTCACAAATATGGCATGTATGAGATTATAAAACATGAAATGGCCTTAAAGTTCTGATAATCCGTTTTAATCTAACATGTTACTTTTATTATTCTAGGAAGCCTTACTTTAATTCTATACTCTGCTTCATTCCACAAAGCTTTTAGGTTAGCGAAAAGCTTTTTGTGATCTTAGGATCTAATTTTTGTGATCTAGAATTAGTATTTGGAGCTCACAGATCATTGCTATGTAAACACTAGTAATTTCTCTCTAAGAAAAGCTCCTTTGTTTTGGGGGTATAGTTCTTCTAGTATAGTTATTTTCGTTTTTTCTGTCAGTTATAATTTGTCTTTTTAGCTCTTCAGGGGTAACTTCTGATGGCACTGGAATCTGGAACCCATGAGAAAGCTAGACAATGCTTGGTCTCAAACAGGTGGGAGAGAATTCCAGTGTGTTTTTTGCCGTAGAGCGTACACATTGTTTCTTTTTCAGGAAGATGAGACTAAGCCAGAAGACTGTATACCAGATGTCCCAGGCAATGAACATGCCAGGGAGTTTCTGGCCCACGCACCAACCAAAGGACTTTGGATGCCACTGGGGAAAGAAGTCAAAGTCATGCAGTGTGAGTATGAAAGGGTTTCAAGTAACATCCTCAGTACATGCAAGTCATGGACCACAGTTTACAAAACATGTTCATTTCTTTTAATTAATTCATTCTCACCACAGCGCTGTGAAGTCAGGGCATGATCTCTATTCTATAGATGCGAAGCCCCCTTGCGTATGTTAGTAAGTGGTCTGAGGTAAGGGGCAGAGCAGGGATCTGACTCCAGAGCTTCCGGCCCCAGGGACAGTGGCTGTAGTATGTGCTTCGTGATACTCCTGTAACAGAAAGGATATTCTGTGTAGACATGCCACGAGGGACAAGGGATGCATTGCAGTGCCGTCCCTTTGAGGATTGCCTCAGTCACTCATCCTCCGTGGTGCTGAGGTTTTATCTAGGTAACCTAAGAGGAGTCAGGGGTCACAGAGGGTAGGTCTGGAGCAGGTAGAGGTCTGTGTGCAGACGCTCTACCGCACCAGAGCAGTGACACCTGCATCTAGCATAAGATGGCATTTGAGGAAAGGGTCCTGCTGCCTTTAAAGACATTTGTTTGTACAAAGATTCTTCATGCACATAATTAAAATAGCAGTTTCCAGTCTCTTTGTCTCCATTCACACATCATCCTTCCTCCAGAATCCTGGTTTACAGCAGTTAGCCTTATTCAAGGTGGCTGGAACTACATGGGGGCATGCTTTCTAGAAGTCAGAGATTACTGGGTTCATCTTGGAGACTGGCAGCCCCAGCTATTCTTGCTCATCTGTGGAAGATAAAAAGTTGATTGGAAGGTCGAAGTGTGTGAGTATGGCTTGTTGGGTTTCACTGAAGTGTGACCTTCTAGTCCAGTCAGTTGGGAACCTGTGAGGTCAGTACCTATAGGTTTTTCTTCTTCGGGTGGGTTATATTTCCTTAGTGAAGAAGGCTTCTCCGTGGAGGGTCAAGACCAAGCTCCGAGTGTTGTGGGATCTGATTGGAGCAAGAAGACAGGGAAACCTTACCATCTACTTTTTATTTGCTCATGTAGTGTTCGATATTTAGTATGGTGCCTTGCCTTCGAATGTGTCTGATGTCTCTTTGGCCAGAGACCCTATGCTTCACCTTTTTCAGACAATAAAATTCCGTCTGTCAGGTCTAGAAATAGTTGTCCTTGGACTTTTCATCAGTCCTCCTTATTTCAGCTCCGCCTTTACCTTTGCTTTCAGGGGTATCTGGTGCTGCCAGTTCCTGAACTCTTTGGAGGTTATGCAAATAGAAACTGAGTTGACAAACAAAAAAAAATTAAAATTAAAAAAGACATTGAGTTGATTCTTAATTCTCCCCTCCGGTGTCTTGGAATTCAGTTTTCTGGTGTCTGCTCTTAATTTAGTATTAATGTGTCTGCATTGTGACATACAACATTTTTTTTGCATTTGACCCTTATGGCTTTTTCCTCACTTCTTGGGTTTGTGGTTTTTTGAAAAATGCTTTATTGCAGTTTAATTTATATATAATGAAATTCACCCATTTTAAGCATGCAGTTTAGTAGCTACTGAGTATCTGCAACCATTGCCATGAGTAAGTTTTAGAAAATTTCATCTCCCCATTAAGATCCCTCATGGCTTATTTCCAGTTAAGCCCCATTACCAGCCTCAGACAACCATTAATCTACAGTCTTTATCAGTTTGGCTTTTCTGGATTCATACAGTCTGTGGTCTCTTGTGTCTGACTTCTTTGTTTTTTTTGTTTTTAATGAACTGCTTTTTTTCCTCTTGCTTGAGTTCCACTATCTTTTTAAATTGATGTATAATTGACATTTAATGTTATATTAGTTTCATGTATACAACATAATGATTTAATATTTGTATATATTGCAAAATGACTATCACAATAAGTCTAGTTAACGTCTGTGACCGTACATAGTTACAAAATTTGTCAAGGTCTTCTCTCTTGGCAACTTTCAGATACGCAGTGCGGTATCAACTCTAGTCACCACGCCGTACATCACATCCCCATGACTTTATGTTGTAATGGGAAGTTTGTCCCTTTTGACCCCTTTCACCCATTTCTCCCACCCCACCCCTGCCTCTGGTAACCACCAATCTGTTTTCTGTATCTAGGAGTTTGGTTTTTTTTTTAGATCCCACATATAAGTGAAATGACTTCTTTCTTTTAGCGTAATATTTTTGAGGTTCCTCTGTGGCATTGCAGATGCCAGTAGTTCGTTATCCCCCTTCTGCTTGCCTTTGGTTTAGGTTGCTCTTTGTTTTCTAGATTTTTAAATTGAACCTTAGATTATTGATATGAGAGTTTCATTCTTTTCCAATACTGACATTTAATGCTATAAATTCCCTGTGAGCACTGCTTTAGTTGCATCTCTTTTCATCCACTTTTTTTTTAATTCTTATTTTTTATTGAAATGTAGTCAGTTTACAATGTTGTGTTATTCTCTGGTATACAGCATTGTGATTCAGTTATACATGCACACATGTGTGTATTATTTTTCATTATAGGTTACTACAAGATATTGAATATAATTCCCTGTGCTATACAGTAGGACCTTGTTCTTTATTTTATTTTATTTTTTGAGGGGGGAATAGCTTTTTTTTATTGAAGTATAATCGGTTTGCAATGTTGTATTAATTTCTGATGTACAGCATAGTGTTCCAGTTATATGTGTGTCTGTGTATATATATGTATATATATTTCTTTTCATATTCTCTTTCATTATAAGTTATTACAAGATATCTTGTCTGACTCTCAATTTATCCCTCCCCCACCTGTTCCCCTTTAGTAACTAAGTTTTTTCCCCTATTTCTGTGAGTCTGTTTCTGTTTTGTAAATAAGTTCTTTTGTGTTATTTTTTAGATTCCATATATAAGTGATACCATATGATATTTCTTTCTCTTTCTGGCTTACTTCACTTAGTATGATAATCTCTAGATCTATCCATGTTGTTGCAAATGGCTTTATTTCATTCCTTATGACTGAGTAGTATTCCACTCGGTGTGTGTGTGCATGTGTGCGTATATGTATACATGTATATACATGTGTATATACACATGTACGTATGTATACATGCACACACATACATGTATATATGTGTGTGTGCATACATGTGCGCACACCCCCACCCCCACACCTTTTTAATCCAGTCATCTGTCAGTGGACATTAAAGTTGTTTCCATGTCTTGGCTATTGTAAATAGTGCTGCTGTGAACATTGGGGTGCATGTAGCTTGTTGAATTAAAGTGTCTTCTGGATATATGCATAGGAGTGGGATTGCTGGATCATGTGGACTTTGTTTCTTTGTGCGTTTTGCAAGTTTTTGATGAAAACTACACATTTTAGATAACATTAGGTGGTCTGGAAATCAGATTCTCCCTCCTACCCAGGGTTTGTTACTGTTCCTTTTTTATATTTTTAGTGACTTTCCTGGACTAATTCTGTAAGTCTGTATTCTCTGCAGTATATGGCTACTGAAGTCTCTACTCGGTTAGCTTAGTGGTCAGCTAATAATATGACAGAGATTCCCTTAAATGCCTTGATCTAAGAAACCTTCTACTCTTTGCCAAGAGGTTATATGTGTGTGTTAAGAAATGCCTCAAATGCTCAGGTGGTTTGGTTTATGTATCTGCCTTAGCCTTTAGAACCTGCTTGCACAGAACCTTACGGTGAGCCAGAAATGAGAAAATAAGGCCTTTTCAGCCCTTTACTATGCATGAACACAGACTTACACATAAGAACAGTCTTCTAGCTTCCCTGGATTATGTCAGAATTTTTGAGAGCCCTCGTGGACATCTTCTTCCCCAGATCTTCCTTTTAAACTTTTGGCTGGGCTCTTATTTACCCAGTGATATCACAGCCATAATAAGCTGTCACGTTGAACAATTGCAGGTGATTGTTTGTGACAAACACCCTGGGGGTAGTAGGGCTTTGTCCGTAGAGCAAGCTGCATGACCAGTCAAATAGCAGCAATACCTTGCCAATGTGGCCCTGTGCTGTGGGGTTAGGGCTTTTTGAGGTACTCAAAATCCAGTCTCCCCTTTTCAGTGGGTCTGACACTACTGCTTTTTACAGCTGTCATGGTTGCAAAGCTGCTTGTTTTTAAGATTATTGTGGAAGTGGGGAAGAGGGTTGGGAGTAGGCCCAGTTAAAATGCCAAAAATGCTGCTGTTCTTAGCAAAGTTCACTAGGTTTTCTTGAATTAATGCTCCTCAGATTGTGGCAAGCCTTTGGTTAATTTCCAGGGTTTAAATAAGTTGATTTGGATAAACTTGCAACTATTTCCAATGCTTTTATGGAGGAACAGATTTATGGAGGTGGTCACTTGGCCGTTTTTGAGATACTTCCTGGATAATTCCTTTTGAAAAAAATTCTCTTCATTGTCACTTTCATGGACTCTCTGGAAGGGAATGAAGGTGTTTAGTTCGTCCTCTTTACCCAGAACTCTCCAGCTTTAAAAAAAGTTTGAAAACCACTGCTCTGTTTAATGAGGTGGTTAGTTGCATTTCATGTTCTATATTATAGTTATTTGCATTGACTTGAAAAACAACTTTTCTGTTGGAACCAGATCCAGTTTTACCAAAAAGTAAATGAAGTTTACATAAGTTTTAGGGCTCCTCACTTGTGCCTTTCAAAGACCTGGAGGGACCACCATGATATGTTGATATGATCATATGATCTTGTAAAATTTGCCAAGGCGAGATTGTTTTTTTTAACCCCAAGAGCTCCCCATCACCACCAAATAATTTAAGCTCAGGCATCATAAAACTTGGATTTATCTCAGACAAGATACATATATATGCACACTTTCATTGATTTTATTGATAGTAATATTATCTAGAACAGTGGTTCTCAAACTTTAATGTGTCTACAAATCACCAGGAAATCTTTGAAGTTCAAGTATGTGTCAGTGTTCCGGGGTAGGCCTAATACTGTGCATTTCTAACAGTCTCCCATGTGTTGCTGATTTTGCTTGGTCATGGACCACATTTTGAATAGTAAGCATCACCTTTCCTTTAAAAGTAAGACAGTTTTGAACACAAAGAAAGACATTGGTTTGAAGGAGTGTAATCTTTCTTTCTTGAACTTTAAATTTTGAGAGAGATAAAGAAGGGACAGTTCAGAGGTAATCGACAGAGAACCCCAGGCTTCATTTTTTTCAGTGGTTTCCTGATATCCAGCTCTCAAGGTTATGTTCCCATACAACCGTTTTATTTTTCACTTTCAGTATAATGTTCAATAAATTACATGAGATGTTCAGCACTTTATTATAGAACAGGCTTTGTGTTAGATGATTTTGCCTAATGTAGGTGTCTGAGCACATTTAAGGTAGGCTAGGCCATGTATGATATTCAGTAGATTAGGTGCATTAAGTGCATTTTCGAATAATATTTTCAACTTATGATAGGTTTATTGGGTTGTAACCCCATCATAAGTTGAGGAAGGTCTGTAGTTTCCGTTTATTTTTTAGACTATTACGTGGTTCATCAACTGATGGCATTTGCTTTTAGAATTGGAGTTTAGTGAAGAAAAACTTTAGTATGATCTACTGATTCTTCATTAAAGAAAACTGTTATCTTACAGAAGAATTTCCTCTTTGTTTTCAGGTTGGCGCTGTAAACGATACGGTCATCGAACCGGCGACAAAGAATGCCCCTTTTTTATCAAAGGCAACCAAAAGTTAGAGCAGTTCAGAGTAGTAAGTAGAGCCCCACCATATCAATTTACATTTATCAGAGATAGTGAATATCGATGAATTAGGCAGTAATCAGTGAACTGGAAATTCACATAAAATACATTCCCAGAAGACGTTCAGCCGGAGTATCTAGTGTTAACCACATCTGTGTTAAATTACAGGCATACCTCGGAGATAATCGCAGGTCTGGTTCTAGCCATATTTAGAACTGCAATAAAGTGAACATTGCAATATAGTCAGTCACACAAATTTTTTTATTTTCCAGTGCATATATAAGTTATGTTTACATTGTACTGTAGTCTATGCAATAGCATTATGTCTAAAAAAAAAGTATATAACTTAATTTAAAATACTTTCATACTAAAAAATGCTAACCATCATCTGAGCCTTCAGAGAGTTGTAGTACTACCATCAAAGGTCACTGATCACACATCATCATAACAAATATAGTAGTAATGAAAAAGCTTGAAATATTGTGAGAATACCAAAAAGTGATACAGAGACATGAAATGAGCAAATGCTGTTGGAAAAATGGCTCTGATAGACTTGCTTGAGATAGGGTTGCCACAAACCTTCAATTTGTGAAAAACGCAGTATCTGCAAAGCACAATTATGTGAAATGCAGTAAAACGAGGTATGCTTGTACATTTGTGACAGATTAGTTCTTTGACAAGAAACTAACTTCTTTATTAAAGTGTTATTTGCTTATACTTGGGGAATAGTGATTCTTTTTCTGAAAGAGCTGTTATTCAATCACTTTTTTAAACTTATTACATAAAAATGTCATATATCATAAGTAAAAATCAGGGTTTTAGTTTTCCAGGCTTTAGGTAAAGATTGTATGTCTTTAAATTATGAGCTAGAAGTATATATATAAATTATATATGCTCTCTATATGATGGTAAAATAGATCTGTCATTTCCTCACTTTATTTTAACAGAGGCACCTCCCAGCGATGTTAATTCACCATTCAGTAACTGCTTCTGTCAAGTGAAACATTCAGCTGTCCAGATGCACTGACATTATCAACATATATTAAACTGGGGTCAACAGACATTCTGCAAAGTTTTTAAGACATTTAAGATGTGTGTTCATTTTAATAATCTGAAATAACTTATTTTGGGTCAATCAATCCACTTCAGGGTGGAATGACAGTTTTTAGAGATACTATAGAACATAGTTTGGTGATAAATCTCAAAAGCTTTAAATATATTCATCTTTTTCTTGGCTCAGAAATCCCACTTCTAAGAACTTACCTTTAGGATATAAGAGAACATTAATACATGCACACGACTGCTCATGTGTGTATAAGGGTAGCTTTCATAATTATTTATATTATGAAAAAAATGGGAACTAAAGAAAAATAGGAAACAACTTAGTCCAGCATATCAACAGAAATTACTGTAACACAGAAATTATTTAGCCACTAGGAATTATGTTTCAGAAGAATGTGTAATGTGGGAACATGTTCGTGAAAATATGTGAAAGTAGTAGAGTTATAGAGTATGTGTATAATTTTTTGTAAGTTTATTAATAATGATTGAAAAAAGAGGCTAAATGTTAATATTACTGTTATCCCTGGGTAGTGAAGTAATAGATTTTTTAAAATTTAATTTTCTGATCTTACCTAAAATTTCTATAATAATAAACATTTATTCTTTTTAAAATGAGGTAATTCATGTACCATAACGTTTCTTGTATATGTATTCTTATTTTTAAGTAATTCAAATCATTTAGAATTATCTCTACTTCCAGTATAGTTTCAGACTTTATTTGAGGTACTTATATATTTTTGTGTACCTATAAATATTTCATTCTTAGGTATAATTTTGTAATTCACTTGTTTTTCTTAACACTATTCCTTGGTTATCTGTCACATAGAACAAAGAGAATTGCCTCAAATATTTCTTCCTTGAATAATTATTCATGATTTTGCAATGGTTTGTTTCTGTATAAAGGATACTTAAATTATACTGTTTTTTTCTAATTGGAAAATTCTTATCGCAGCGAGTTTGTAGTGTAGGTGACCCATAGGAAGGATTAGAACATATTGAACAACAAGCTGGAAAAGAATGACTGGCTTTTTTGGTAACAGAGGGACTTAATGTTTAATTAACTAACAACCAATGAAGCCTAACCCAGTCTTAACCTTTTCTCCCCTTTAAGGCACATGAAGATCCCATGTATGACATCATACGAGAGAATAAAAGACATGAAAAGGATGTAAGGTGAGGTTGTCCCAATGCTAACAAGAATCGTCTTAACGTCTAACACTATATAAAGTTGGAAACAACCATTTCAGTATTAGAGAAATGGTTTTAAAAAATATGGTACTTTAATTGTGAAATATTTGGAGAGCAGGAGTAATCCCTGAAAAGGCCAGTTTGTGGGGAATGAGCAGGGCAGCCTGTTCTACTTTGGATTAGCTTAAAGCAGTGGGCTTGGCACAGTCCACTCATGGCACTGATAGTTGATGTTGGCAACCCACGTTGTGGTATTTAGTCCTTCTGTATGATTGGTTCTTTCATATATTTAGTTATCTTCTCCAGTGTCTTTAAAGATCTGAACTATTGTTAAAAATTATTCTTAGACATGAATAAAGATAGAGTGAAAAAACAGGGTTTTTTTCCCCCAAAATTAGTGATACTGAATTATAGTTGTCGAGGAGGTAGATTACCTAGTTGGAACTTGAAAGTGGGGGAATGATTTAGGAAAGTGTGCATCTGTTAGAAGTTATAATAGCAAGGAGTATGGAAACATGCAGAAATATTTAGGACAATAAGAATACAAAGTGACTTGTACACTGGGTACAGTCATGTAAAATAAGCATGGATGTAGACAAGAATGGGGAAAACATTCAAAAATAAAAATACTGTTTTTAATGAGGTGATTATTTATGACATTTTTCACACTCACTACTGTTCTTAGATTTATACCTTAAAAAATTTTTTTAAGTTAAGTTGAATATGGTTCTTTGGCCATTCTTATGTGTTTAGGATACAACAGTTAAAACAGTTACTGGAGGATTCAACCTCAGATGAAGATGAGAGCAGCTCCAGTTCCTCAGAATGTAAAGAGAAACACAAGAAAAAGAAGAAGAAAGAAAAGCATAAGAAGAAGAAGAAAGAAAAAAAGAAGAAGAAAAAACGAAAGCATAAGTCTTCCAAGTCAAGTGAGAGTTCAGACTCAGAATGACAAGAAGTTGACTTGTTCAGCATTCTCTTCTCAAAAATCAAACACTGTGGCCAAAGATGAGAGGAATGTGGGATCAGAGAGAAATAGGAGAGAGAGTCACCAAGAGAGGAGGAGATTTGGTGTCACAGGTGTAAATTCTCACCTACCTTCCAGTAAAGGTGTGACCCAGAGGAGAGTGGGTTGTATCTTGCCAGGTGCTAGCTCTGGGCAGTGGCTGATTTCAGGTCAGAAAGCTTTTGTCCCTGCTGATCACTGTGGTTTGTGATCCCTTAGAAATGCCTCCTGCAGGGTGGCCAGACTAAGGGAATCTCTGAGGAAGCTCCTCCAGGTGCTGCCACAGCTTTCACCCTCCTTGGTGGGGCTACTTACTGCCCATAGACTTCAGGCTTGACTTTCCTCTTGTTGAGGATAATAAAAGCTCATTATTTTATTTATTAAAAAATTCATTTATTTTTGAATCATGATAATATACTTACACTGTCCCAATTTAAAAGGTATATAAGGTTTAATCATGAAAAACCTCTTCCCCAGCTACTCAGTTCCCTTTCCCAGTGACTACCAATTTTACCACTTTCTTGTGAAACCCTCTGGAATTATTTTATGTGTCACAAGCAAATTTTTTTTCTTTCTTAACAGAAATGCTAGCAATTTATACACATTTGTCTGCATTGTTTCTTTCATTTTTTAATTCAACAGTGTAAAGCATGTTGGTCTTTGCTGCACACAGAAGTCCTGATTCATAAACCCCTGGCATGTTTGGTGAAGTTTTTTGGAGGGAAGGGATCTCTTACAATAAGAAAAAACCATGTGTTTAACTCCCTTCACACTTACTACCATTGTCCCATGATTATTATTATTCCCCAAATAATTGATGTAGAAAAATTATAAAGATGTAGAGGTTATGTAGTGGGTCAGCTGCCCACATCCCAAAATAATATCCCCATCCTGTTGGCAGAGCGCAGACCACTTGAGAACTTCCAGCTTTGGCAGTGCTGCAGCTGAGGCAGCTCAGCACGTTGGAATGGTGCCTGCCGCTGGGGGAGGGTGTCTGTTCTTTGCTGAGCTAAAGTGGAGCCAGTTCTTGCTCAAGAATGTCCTTCCCTCTCCACCAGGGTGTGTTGCTGCTTTCATCACTCAGGGTCCCAGGAACCCATTGTTCCCACTTCCTGCCCTTTTTCCTGGGGGTTGGATTCCCCCCTTCTTTAAAGGATAACCGATGCAGGCCAGGCTGACTCCTCCAGCTCTCTTCAGTAACTACTCCTAGTCTTGGCGCTGGAAAGTTTATCTCAGTAAAAACAATTGGATGGAATGGCCCAAGACTTGTTTCTGAAAACCCTAAGGCCAGTATCCTTACACTTATCCTTGCCATTTCTAGCTCAGCATGCAGCAGAAAATTCTCCTTCCAGGAGTTTTCTTTCTTCTGCTGGAATCCCATTCATGATAAACATATTCTGTTACAAAATGGGAGAATAATATCAATGATTCTCAAGCTTATGGGGCATCAAAATCCCCTGTAGTACTTGTTAAAACAGAGTCCTATGCCCTACTCCTAGTTTCAGAAATTCTGATTTGCTAAATCTGCGATAGCCTGGGGGATTTGCATTTCTAACAAGTTCCTAAATGATGCTAATGATGTTGGTTGTGGGGCGGTGGGGGTGGGGTCAGATTTGAAAAACCACTTATCAAAATGTTTAACCTCTTAGTAAAACCTTCCTCCACTTTCTGCTTTAACTGGAATCTCGCCGTCCACTGCAGCCCCTGCAGGTTAATTCCTGTCTCTTCTCCCTCACTCCAGGTTTCTCTGTCTTCTGTTTCTGGGCCACATTCTGTGGTCCATCACTTCAGCCTGTTACCTCCCTTGACCTGCGGTTCTTCTGTCCAGCTTACCCCAAAGAACCTCAAACCAAACTCTTCCTCCTCTGCTTTAATCCCCAGACTGCTGAGCCCATAAAGCTGATCAATCAAATTTCTTCATCCTAAAACCTCTCCCATCAGACTGACTACTCTCCACTCCTATTCAGGAAGGCAAAAGAAGCCACCAGACTTTCCTTTACCAAGGTATCTTATCAGCCTGTCACCATGGTTGTGATAGGCACGGCTGAAATGGCCTCCAAGGTTTCCTGCCCAAACCTGTAGAATTGTTATGTTAAGGGATTTTACTCCCATGATTAGGTTGTGTTACAAGGCAGTTTGACCTTTTTAAAGGGTGACTATTTGGGTGATCAGAATTATAAAACCAGAGGTTTTTTTCCTAGCAAGTAGCAAAAAGGAAAGTCAGATTCCAAGCCTGAGAAAGACTTGATGTGCTGCTGGTGGCCCTATTTTAAAATGAAGGGGCCAGATGGCAAAAAATAAGGCAGCTTCTAAGAGGTAAAAGCAGTTGCTATCTGACAGCCAGCAAGGAAGTGGCATCTCAGTGCTGCACTCACAAGGAACTCAATTCCACTAACATTTGCAATGACTTTAGACATGTATTCTTCTCCAGAGCCTTCAGGTCACAGCCTTGTCTTGCCCACACCTTATTTTGGCATTGTGACGTGCAAAACAGAGAACCCAGTCTAGTCTATCCAGATTTCTGATCTACAGACCTGTGAGATAATAAATGAGTGTTTTTATTTTTAATTTTTTAGAAAATCATAAACTTTTTTACCCCAGTTTTAGGTTCATGACAGAGAATTGAGCTGAAAATACAGAGATTTCCCATATATGCACTGTGTACCACAGTGGGACACTGATCACAGTCGTTATCCTCTGCTGGCACTTTAGTCAGTTGTGACTGCATCTGCCCATCTCTCCAGTTGTTGGGTCAGTGGTTTGCCCTGTGACCTCAGTTTTCTCACAGATGTAAGATCTGATTCGTTTGTTCAGCTTTTTACTTGTTAGGACAGAGTGAACACATCTGACCTCTTTACATGCCAAACCTGAAACCAGAAGTTGAAGAATATTGTTTTGAGCCCCTACATTTGTGATCATTAACGACTGCTCACATGTCTGGAAGATTCTTGAGGGCAGAGACCATCTTGTTTTGTGTTGCATTCTTACCTTCTAACACAGTGTGTCACGCACAGTGGTGTTCAGTAGGAATTTATTAAAAGTGCGGTTACGTTTTCCAGTTGGAACATGATTTGGATGTGTACTGTACTGCTTGTATTTACCTCCCAACCCCCAGCCCTGACTTCAGACTATAGTATTAATTATTCTCCCAATTGCTGGTTAACAGCTGACAGTTGCAGATGGCTTCCCCTTTCTAGGGACTGTTCTTTCTTGAAAACAGCTACCCTTTCCAAGGCCATGCTTTATTTCTAGGGGCATTCTGTATCGCAGTGACTGGTCTGTGCAGGGTGTAAGGTGAAGCCTCTTGCCTCAACTGGGCCAATTCTACAGGGTTTTTACTGCTCATGAGCTCTCAGTGGGATTGGCCAAGGCTTTTGTTTTGACTACATCACACCCAGACTCCTCTCTCTGCTTAACCATGCTTTCTTTGTCTTCTCAGAGACGTAATCCTCTAAAGCATTTGCCATTAAATTTCCTGCACCCTAATCATCTCAGAGTTTGGTCCTAAGGAACTCAACCTGCCACAGAGGTATGATGGCTGCTTCGGAAGATGAAACCTTAGAGGAGTTTGTCTTCATTTTGGTCTCCATTTTCCAAACTTGCACTTGACTTTTCATCTGTCCTCTAGGATAAAGGCAAGACTGTGGGAAAGCTTAAAAAGCAGGAAAAGTGTTCTTTGGTACTCTACTTTGTCTTTGTGCTTCCTCTTCCTTATACTGGCATTACCATCTTGCCCACCTTCTAGGGTCCAACCCACAAGGCCAAATTTGGTAATCTAACAGATTAACACTAAGCCGTTCATTCACAAATACTTGAGTACATGTGATGTACCAGGCCGTATACTCTTCCATGGGGATACTGCGTTGGCTATAATAATCCACGGCCTAAATACATGGTCTCCCTTGATGAGAGTAAGAACGTTACACGTCTCACATGTCATGTCATGAAATGGGCTATGGAAGCGAAAACACAGGTGATGCTGGAACACATAGGAGTGTCACTAATCCAGCCCTGGGTGGGGATAGGTGTGAGAGGTATTTTCCTGTAGTATCTAAATGAAATCTTTAAGGGTTAGGCAAAGTCATCGGCCTCATAAGACCAGCCTTGGAAACACTATCCTATGCTTCTTACCTGAAAAAATGTAGCACTTAATCACTTTTTACCATCTCCTTAATCCATCTTGAGGGGTACTTGGTTAATATCTGGAGTTAAAGAACATTCTTCTACAGGACAGTTTCATCACAGGGTAACTTAGAAGCAACACTGAGTGGGCCCATCCATGTCCTTACTGTCACCCAGAGAACCTTTCTTGGAGGCACCCCCATCCTCTCACATCTGCCAACCTTGGGAGGGTGTCCAACCGTCCAGCCACACAAGTCTTTCTGACAAGTAGTCACAGACTTAACCTGTACCATGTATTGAGAGAAGACTGATTCCACAAATGGACCATCTGGGTCCTAGGTTCTGAGTATAAAGATCTTTTGTTTGCCTAAAGCAACTTTTATTCCTAGGAGTGCAAACTAGTTGAAAGTACAGAACATATGATTCTACAGGCCACCCCTGGACATACCCATCTGTGTGGCCTCCACTTATAAACAATGAGTCAACATCCTCTCTGTCCCCAGGGTAGTTCCTCTTGATGGGGAATGCTTAATCTTTTTATTTTGTCCTCAACCCCACCATCCTTTTCTCCTCATCTGAAGGTCCCTGGAGATGACAGACAGAACTATTCATGGATCACCCAGTGCTATAAGTATTGTCTTAAGTGATGTGGCCATTTTGAGAGGAGAAGAAAATGCTTAAGAATCATAGACTTGCATTTCCATTTATTTGCTGTTTTACAACTTAAAATTCCAAAGGCTTTATAATGTCACATTATCTTGTTTTTTTAGTATAACATTTTAGTAATTCAATCGAGAGAGAGTATGTGATGATGCAATATTTAGCTCTTCCTTGTAGCTGGAATTTAGCAATTTGTTTCCTATGAAATAACAATGGAATACATTTGTTAAATCGGTTGTGTAACAGACAAGATGTTATACAGAGAATCATTACCAGTATCTTTAGTTTCCATTTTTAAGATAAAGCTGAAGGTTTTGCCTGAACTTAGTTATCATTCTTCCCTTTATAACACTGTAGGGCAGGAATGACCTTTAAACGGCCGTCAAGCCACCTCTCCAAGACTAAGGTTTGAAGTGAGACAGGGATACGCAATGCCAAGACTCAGTGTGGAGGGAAGCCTGTGAGGCTACTGCCCCTGAAGGGAGATGCTGAGCTTCCAGTACCCAGCTCTAAACTAGTACACTAAGGGTGAAGCTGCCGGGATAACTTACAAAATCCCATATAACCCACAATATACTACCATTAATAGCATCAGGATCAAATGTGAAAACCAGCATAAAAAAACATTCCATAGAACTGAAAGGCTTTGACTGTGATTTTCTAAGCTGGGATCTACAAGGTTTATCTGTTACCCACTTAGAATGCTGCTGTTTGTCACTGCCCATAAGCAGTGTTAGCTTTGGAGGGCAGAACAGGCACCAAGGAGGAAACCCCAAACAAATAAAGTCCAAAAATCAAATCATAAGACACTTGACACAGGATAGATACCAACCTCTAGATCTGCTTGGTATTTCCTAAACTTTATAGCATCTGCCTCGAATCTCTGTTACTTTGTAAGGTACCTTGGTTTTTGATTTCTCACAGTTACCTGAGGGAATAAGGACATTCATACATTAAATAATCCAAGTTGCTTAAAAACCAAAAGGAAAAAAAATTCAAAAACACATCTTTTAAGAAAATGACCTATTTTTCATGAGTCTATTCTATACCATTCTATAGTTCTTGGCAGCAAAAAATATCTGACAAAATAGTAATAGACACAATTTATAGAAGAGACCCTTCAGCCTGGAAATTAAAACCTTGGCTGTGTAGCCTAGAGTAAATTGAAGCTCTCATTATCTTCTTCACAGGACTACTCAGTGAGACTCTCCTTCAGACATAGCCAAAGGAGATAGTGCTCAAAACTAGCAAACTACAGTACTGAGGGTGAGGAGGGTAAATTTCCAAGCAATGTTATTTCCCAGGATAGAAAAAGATTCATACACACACTGATGGGAAATGACATAGGAATGCAGAAGCAAGTAGGACTTTGAGAACACTAAAGGTAAGGCAGCCAGTGTTTTAAGTTGATTCATTTTGCAGGGTTAGACATTGTGATCTAGGGCTCACACTTCTGGAATGCTCCCATTCATTACAGAGCTTACATTTATGCTTGAGGATCTGTAAAGCACAGTGGCCCAGAACATTCTCTCTTGCCCTCTTTTATAAACAGAGTAAACATACCAAAGCAAAAAACTCCACTCATATTGTAAAGTCACCCTGTTTTTAAAAAACCCTTCCAAAAAAAAAATTAAAATTAAAACCCCTTCCAAATCACTGAGCATGAATCAACGTCATGACAACAGCCAAGAGTTAAGATAAGATAATATCTCAATTTTTAAGTAGACTAGGTAGGCTTAAGTATTTCATAAGTCTAAGGGTTTGGGATTAAAACTGGAAGGTAAACTTCCCTGGGGCCCACACGCATCCCATTCTTCACTTACTTGCTTTGCTTCATTCTTTGCACCCAGATATAATCACCCCAAATCTCTCCTTCGAGCCCTCCCTACTCCTGTCAGCCCTGTCCTCACCAGTCATAGGGTGGTCCGAACTCAAGCTTCAACCAGGTGTGGATGAGCTGCTGGTCCAGTCCCTCAATCTCACCATTTTACACTCCTCCCCCTACAACCCACGCAGAAAAGCAGAACACCTTCTCTTGCCAAGTTAACACTTTTCCCTGGATTTTACCATTTTTTCTATGGACTCAAGTTCAAACTCCAGCCCTTTTCTTAAGATTCAGTTGTGTCAGTCCTCTCACATGTCTCTCTCTCTTTTACTTCCATGTAAGTTAGGACCCTCACCACTTTTGTTTTGTTGAATTACCACACTCTATTGAATGAAACTGGTTTTCATCCATATAGGCACACTGCACTCTAATTCCTCCTGTAAAATACTGCTAGTTGAAGATTCCTACAGCACATTTGTCTCATTTCTCTACTCAATCTGGATTAGCCCCTTATTGGCTACAGGATAAGATTCTGTAAGTGAAGAGAAACAGTACGACTTTACCCCATCCTCCTTACCTTCTTTCCTAATTCCTCAGAAGTCTCCTCTCTGGCAGCATGGTCCCAAGCTGAATTCTGCCCTGGCTGCCCGTTTGAGCTCATGCTACTGTCTGCATTCCCACTCCAAACTTTCTCCTCTTTTATCTCCAAGCCACAGAATCTAAATCTGTTCAAATTCTCTGCCTCCACATGGACTGCCCATTCTCAGGAGTCCAGCAAGATCCATGTCCTTCCCTCCTTTTCTATCTCAGCCCAACTCTCCTTTACCACCATTACCCAGCTCCCTACCACCTTCTACTAGAGCACTTTTTGTTTCCAATTACTGCACAATTTCCTAGAATGCAGGAACTCTAACTTGGGATTCTCTTTGAATATGATTATATGCACCTACAGCTTAAGTGACAACACACTTACAAAATGGAGAAACACTACTGATTTATGGCTACCTACGGATCCAGGACCCAGTTTGGAACCACCACGGACAACCAAATAGGATATGAACCCACCAGGCACTTACATTCCAATGATTTGTGAGAGGCTCTCTTGGACTCCAGTCCCTCCTGCTTGGCCATGGTGTGTTTGCCTCGGAGCCTGCCACCAATGCTGTCACAGCCATCCTGTCCTTTCACCTTGTAAACCACAGGGATGCGCTCATATTCACCATGCTTTAACTTGTACTTATTTCCGGTGGGCCAGACAATAAGCTGGGGACGGACAGAGCTCTCAGGTGGCATCCAGATTATCCTGCCAGGGTCCTGATAAAACCTCCCTTTGAAAGATGTCAGAGGGCCCTGTGGACTCACTTCAAGGAGGCATTCTACCTCTTCCATTTCATCTTCAACTTCCTCTTCCAACTCAGAGTCTTCTGAATCCTCAGGAAGCACAATGTTCAAGGCAGCACTCTTCTTCAACAAATAGGCTGTCCTAACATTTGAGAAGCTGCTCAGGTCTTTGAGCTTCCTGCCTCTCACAGTCTTTTTAGTCTTTGCACACCTTTTGAAGTTCTCATTATACACCTCCCCCATCTCATCATTCATAATCTTTTCACCCTTATCTGCACTTAATTTCCTATTCGTGACTGTTCTTTCCCATGATCCCTTGGTTTTGCAGCCTGGGGGTGTCTCTTCACCTCTGGAGGGCATTTGCTGCGGGGATTTCTCGAGCTGTGCTTCATACCAACTCATATCACACTGGATGCCCTCATCTACTTTGTTCGACTGGGACAACCGTGTAAGGGAGGGACCGTGCCCCTCACAGCTATTCCTCTCCACCTCATCATCTTCATCTTCATCCTGGTTCCCACTCCCCATCTGCCCTGTTCCCTTTCTGCTGCTTTCTGGGGAAGGCTCCTGGGATTTCTCAGACTGTGCCTCATACCAACAAGTCATACCGCACTGGATGCCCTCATCTACTTTGTTGAACTGGGCCAACCAAGCAGGGGAGGGAACGCACCCCTCACAGCTACTGCTGTCTACCTCTTCCTCTTCACCCACATTCTCAGGGGACCCACAGGTCCCACTACTGTTCTCTGGCACACTGCCCCATACAGTAAGTGGTTTCTGAGATCCTGAATGTAGGCTTGGGTCATTACCTGCTTCCAAACTGGCACAGACTGGCCCTTCCTGCTGAAGCTTGTTGACATCTCCAGTGGACTGGTACAGCTTTGAGTTCAGGGTATTCTGGATCTCAGCCCTGTCTTTTACTGCATTTGGAGGTGGTGAGTTCTGGGAAACAACTGCATACCCCTTATTTTCTTCACCCAAGTTCATCTCCATGATAGATCCTGACTGTAACATCTCCTCACTTCTTACAACATCAAGACACTCCTCCAACTGGACAGCTCTGTGTTCATCTTTATATACAATGTGGTCTTCACCCTCCCGAAGGTTATAGAGCACACCTCTACTTTCACAGGAACTCTGTGAAATCTCATTGTGTTGTGCCACGTTCTCTGTCATGGCTTTACCATAAACCATGTCATACAAACCCACAGTTTCTTTCAGCGATTTCCAGAATTTTATTATAGGGGATCCTTTGCCCTGTTCTAGCCTCTGCTCTTTCTCGGATGCACAGCTTCCTTGAGTTGCATTTCTATACAGAGTGTTACTAGAAGGGCTTTTGCCGTGTAGCTCCCTCTTCTGGGCAACAGATGTCAAAGCCCCATCTGTTTCTTGAGGAATGTTGTCCATTTCAATGTCAGTATTAGTAACAGGGATACTGGTCACCCTTCCTACGTCATAGCTGACACCTTCTGAGTGCATGTCTTTTTTATTTGTGTTTTCAGCCTGTTGAGGTTCAGTTTGTGTGTGTTTCGTTTTCATTTTTTTCCCATAGCCACTATATTGTCGGAATTGTGCTGTGTTATAAAATATAGGGACTATAGGTCTTCGGTTAAGAGTGGTAGGCAATGGGGATTGAGGGACGAGGAAGCCAGGATACTCATTGAGCACCACAGGATATGGAAAATATAGACTTCCATTTCTGAAACCTAGGAAAAGAATATGACAGCCATTTTGTCTCCTGCAGCCAGTCACAACATTCAGCCAGTACACCCCTATACAGAGCCAACAGAATGTTTATAAGCAAGATCTCTTGAAGGAATTGGCTCATGTGGAGGTGCTGGCCCAACATCTGCCAGGTAGAGACACGGTGAAGAATTACAGGTCACAGGCATAAACTGGCACAGTTCCCTCTTTGCTCAGACTGACTACTATTCAGCTGGAAACAGTGACTGGTGAATTCAGAAGCTCTCCTCATCACACCTAGTTTTATATTTGGAAAAGTTGCATAATATATACAACATACTTTACCTACAGGAGGATACTCAGAAGAGCAAGTTAACATTTCCTTTCCTACTGGGAGGTGTGAGATGGCAGAATCACCCCACAGATCTCCCTGACCCCCTAAAGCCTCTTCCCACCATGTACTGAATGAAATCCTAGATGTCTCCCTTCCAAACATTTTAAAGTCTAGCTTTTCATTCTTCCTCCAGAGTAGTTTTCTGACCTCACCATACTAGCTTTAAGAATCTTGAGGCCTTGTTGAAAAAAATTACAGGAACTAGGAACTTTAAAGTACCCCTTCCAACAGACTGGTCTCAGAACATGATGAGACTTTTGTTGGACTACTGTGTGTCCCTGCGACAGTCACTGACTGGGAGCCTCAGTTCTCCCAGTTGGAAAGGAAGGACAGCAACAAGACCTAGCTCATGAATTGAAGTCAAATGAGAGACCCTGTTTCTAGTATTTAGCAGAGTAACTGGCATATAGCTGGAATTCAGATGTTTCCTATCAAACTACAAACACTGCCCTCTGTGCTGCCACAGTCTGTCTAAGCACTGGGTGAGGAAAGGGAGGTAATGGATGAAAGTGTTAGAAAACCTTCAGGCTTTGGTTTATAGGGAGGGTCCTTAATCCCACTGAACCTCTTTGGGGATTCAGATTCCTTACCTGTTCCGGGAGCGGAGAATGCATTACAGGTGGGATTCTGGTACCAAGAACCCAGGTGAGGCTGCTGGGCCATGGGGTGCACATAAAAGAAAGGTCTGGAGTTACTGCCCTCAAAATGTTCGTTGTTTCCTGAAGAGTTCATTTTCCAGGCTGAAAAACAGGTGTTCGTGGTTAGAAAGGACAGCCGCGGTCCGCTCTGTAAAGTGCACTGAAGGAAGAAAGCCATCCTTGCCCCGCATCAGAACTGCCTGGGTGAAGTTCCCTTACCTTCTCTTCCCGCTCACCTGGGATGGGGACACGGGGCGCTGCCCTGTGTTAGGACCAGGGGAGCGACGCCCAGGGGCCAAGGCCTTCGTTGTGCTGAGGAAGTCTCGGCTCCCCAGGCAGCAGCACATTGGGGAAATGAGTCCTTGGAGGTGCAGGGAGACCCGGTGCTGGGTACCAAAAGCCAGGGACCTCAGGCAGCGGTTACCTGAAAGAAGGGGCTTAGGCCCGGGCTGCGCTGCCCTCTCATTGGCCCGAAACCCTCCTTAGTCCCGCAGTCCAGGCCCCAGGTTCCACGTCTCCAAAAGCCCCCCTCCCAGCAGGCCAGTCTGTTCGCGACCCCTACAACCCGCGCTCCCATTCGGGACACCAACCTGCTCTAGCTTGACGTCTGTGACTGGGAGCCTTTATGGTGGCGCACGACCCGCGCTGGTCTGATCTCTTGTGATCCGAGAGTTTATGCCTGGTCGTGGCTCCTGCGCTTCTGCCTTTTCAGGCGCTGCAGGGCGGGCACGTGCAGCTTCTGCAGGCCCCGCCCCTCAGCCATTCCTGCACGCATGCGCCCTGTGTGAGCTCTCCGGGCCGGCGGATGCCTCTAAAAGCCCTGAAGAAGCCGGTGCTGAGACTTGGTGGAGGAGAGCAGTACTCTACACACTGCACCCAGGTGAACCCCTAGTCCTCCCTTCTGCACATCCCTTGTGCGCGTAGGCGCATTGGCCTTAGCTTTTCTAGAAAATGAAGCCCTTCCTGTCCCTTTGGTTCTCCCGGACTGTCTCCTCCTCTGAGTGTGTTGTGTTAGGTCAGGTCATGGCCACTTCTCTGAGCTCCTGTCTCCTTCCTTCCTGGGGCCTAAAGCCTCTGACACTTAAGGAAGGAGCCTGCCGAGGGGAAGCAAAGAGGAAAGAGACCAACCTGGACGGAGGACAGACCTGAGAGAAGGAAGAGTCAGTCACACAGCCGGGTGAACAAGCCTTCTTAGTGCTGCGGAGAGCAACATCTCGGGGGAGGGGGCTCTGGCAGTTAAGACCCATTGGTTGAGGAAAGTGATGGGAGGGAAAGGCGCTGGAAGTCGTCTGTGGGTGATAGAGGGGCAGTTAGAACGGGAAGCTGGCACGTACAGAGTACTCTGTACCTGAGAGGAAGGGAAAACGTAGGACAGTATCGCTTGAACGGGAGTCGTGGAGTTCTAAGGAGGATTGTGGATTTTTCTTCTTGTTTTTGAAAGAAAGGGATTGCAGCATCTTTATCCAGGAGATAGAGAGACAGGAGATGAAGGAGGGAGATGAAGTCCTGAAGACAGAAATTGAAGTATATTCGCATCTGATGGCCTTGTTATTATTATATCTTCAGTTAAGAGGGGCAGGAATGGTATAACAATACCTGCCATACTGCCTCATGGAATGGAGAAAGCAGTAATCTACAGACCTGCAGAAGGGCTGCTGGTAGAGTTGGGGGCTGACATGGGGTGAGATTCAGTAATTTGTGTTGGTCCTCATCTGCAGTGGTATGTCGCTCAGTCACTTTCAGTTTCTTGGGAGAGACATAATGATTGGATGGATCAAGGACTGGTTTTGCAGGGTTTGTGGAAAGACAAGATAAGAGTTGAAGAATGTTCAGTATAATGGTGAGAAATTAAAGTCACACATCATGGCGCATAATGTATACCTTGCATCTGGGTGACCATGAGTGTTGGGTGCCTCCTAAAATTGTGCTTCTCAGGTGCCTCTCCTCACCCTACTTAGTGGCCTAGCATACAGTCAGGAAGAGAAAGTCCTGTCTGAGAGGAGCTGATCAAATGATGCAAAAGTAATGGAGATCTTATAAATGAGAATGAAAGAGCTAGAGGAGGGGGTTTGTGGTCAGAATGGAAATCTGGAATTTAGGATTTCAGATTTGGACCAGTTGTAAGATATAACTAGGTCCCCAGGGTGTCCATTTATAGTGGTTTGCTGAAGTCTTGAGGGTGTGAAGGTCATTGGCGCTGAGGAAGGAAAAGATCAGGGAGGCTGGAGTTTTGGATGCCACCCCCTGTGTTGTCGAACCCAGGTTCGTGTGCCTAACACACTATGAGGCCAAACAAACCAAAACATCGGAGTTAGGAGC